TTATGTATTTGGTGTTTAAAAAGAAAAGGGCTAAAGAAAATGGCAAGAACAATATACAGAATAAAGACCCTTTTATATCATAGCCTCATTTAATTAAAAATTTACTCCCTCCAAAAAAATTTCCATTTTCAAAGAAACTCAAAAAGCCAGGTACCAGTAGTTCCTGCCTGTGATCCTAAACTACGTAGGAGGCTGAGATCTGAGGATCTTGGCATAAACTCAACCAGGGCAGAAAAGACCTCAAGACTCTTATCTCCAATAAACCAGCGCAAAAGCCAGAAGCAGAGTTGTAACATAAGTAATAGAGCATCAACCTTAACCAAAATACCAAGCAAGAGTACAAGGCCCTGAGTACAAGTTCTAGTACCAGTATACACACATACACTCACAAAACTAAGTGTAAAGATTTTAGAAATACATTCAAAGGCTAAAAAAAAAAATCTTAAAAACTACTCCAAAAATAGTAACTCTGATCTATGAAGAAACTAATTATCCATATAAACTCACTGCTTAGAATGTATGAATAGCTGAAGTGTTGATTAAATTCGGCTTTATATTTCATAGAAGACAAAGTAATCATATTCTAATTAAGAATTCAAATTTAAAATTTTTCAATGTAGGATGGGATGGGAAGGGGAAACAAAGGAGGCTACAATGCTTGATAAGAAATGTACTCATTATCTTGCCTATGTTATTGTAACCCCTCTGTTCAGTATTTTCACAATAAAAAAAATTTAATAAAAAAAGTTTCAATGTACCTTTATTTAAAAATGGACAACTGTTAAGAAAAATAAATCATAAAGTCAAAGGAATATTTAAAACAAATAAACATTACAACTTAAAATACATTATTAAAATGCACTCACAGAGCAATATTCTAGAGCTGCTTTTTACTTATATTTTGTTGCTTGATTTGTTGATTTGAGACAAAGTCTTGTTGTGTTGTCCAGGCTGGCCTCAAAAAACAATCCCCCCACCTCAGCTCTGTAAGCAGCTGATACTACAAGCATTTAGAACCTGCAGGTGTAGAACTCCTTTTTAATATTTACCTATTTAATCTGAAGCAAATGTCTGTACACTGAAGATGGTTGAAGACGTACTAAATACCATCTTCCCAGGGCTGCCATGTAATAAATCTCCTTTTCTCTACCCTTCACCCATACCTGGCTCTTTACTTGGCATATGGGAGCTAACATTAGTCCCACCTAATATGGAACTGTACTGGGTTTTTAGACCCAAGGCCCGAAGTCTAAGGAGTCCCAAGTTGGGAGTAGCTGCTCACCCTCACAGGCCAGAGCATGAGAAAGACATGCATGGTTGTCCAGGCACAGGTGAGGTCTGGCTGGCCTGTAGCTCAGTCCTTTGGACTGGGAGGAGTTGTGGACAACTGTTATCATTTTACTCCTAGAACAAAACAGGAAGTAGGTAATCACCTGTGCTTTGGCCGTTTCCTTTAAGATGGTAAGAAAACACTGCTTACTTGAGGGGGCAGTTTGCCTTCCATGCGAGATGCTAGTCATTGAATCTGCTCTTTCCTCTGGGAGCTCAAGGTGATTGCAAAGGTACTTCAGAAGGGAAAACCTCAACTGAAAGGAATTTTTAACTGATTCAGAGGACCCAGCAAAAGCATCTTTTGAGTTGTCTCTGATAGTCTGGTGGACTTTGGGCCTCAGCTCCAAAAACCTAGTTTCAGAATACCTGAACACTTGAGCTCTTATCTACAGGAATACTTTTTTTCTAACTCCTTAGACAACACACAAAAACTGCTAATTTCTCTGTCCCCAAATTACACACACACACACACACACACACAATTCCAATGTGCCATGACTACCCAAAAACTGTAAGCCTCTCTTAAGCATCCCAATCATTTGACCAACACACAGTATGCTAAGGCATGTGGACAGTAAACCATTACTGCCTTTAATAAGCTGTTGTCGATCAGGCACTTCAAAAGATGAATATTGTTGAGCATAACATGTGATGAAGAAAACCAAGTAATCCAATTTTATCCTAACACAAAACAATCGATAAAACATAGCAAGCAGAAAAAGATTACAAACAGAAATTGTGATTGCTAGAGAATTCATAAGATGAAGAAGAAAGATTAGCTCTACTTAAACAAAAACAACCACAAAAAAGGGCTTCGTTTTTAATATGAATGTGTGGCTATAGGGCCCTCCTCTTTCAAAACATCTCTAAATCCAAGGGAGGAAAACAAATCAAAGTAATAAGTATTTTCTCATTTGATCCATGAAAGGAAGACAAAAGATGGACCAGCAGCAGCAAGGAAGAGAGGCACGGACAGACCCAAAGTAATCAAGAAATGACAGCTGGTTCTCACTGCAGGGCCATCAGGTAGAAAACTACAGGAGGAAAGTATCTGAACACAAAACTGTTCTGTGGAGTCAGGTGGCTATGCACAGCTTTCTTATGAACCACTGAGCTCTCGTCTCTGCTTTTAGCATCCCTGGTACAACAGAACCCAAAGGGCAACCAGTACGTTTCATAAAAGAAGCAAAACCAAACTGATATAAACACAAATCATTTCCTCCTCCTTTCTTCCTCGCTCCTCACTTGGTTGTCATGGTAACCAACTTGAGGTTTTATTATATTTGTGTTTTGTTATAAAGTGCTATAAGTACTTGCTGACGGTAGATGGTATAAAAATGCATACACCTCTGAAAGTCTTTGAATACATATCTCAACACGCCACTATTCTAAGATGAAATATCACATTCCCATGCAGATGCACTATCCATGTGAAAAATAAAAACCCACGCCAGGCACAGTGGCTCACACCTGGAATCCCAGCTACTCAAGAGGCTGAAAGCTGAGGACCCATGAGATAAATTCACAAGACTATCTCCAATTCACCCACACAGAGCTGGAAGTGACCAGGGCTATACGCATTTACACACAGTGAGACCAAAGGACTCTGTTAGGAGTGGAACACAAAAGCACAATAGCTGTGTGCCTCTCACCATATAATAATATTTATTGAAAAGAATGGAAACAAGAGGATTTTTCTTTGTTGTTTCTGTTTTCTTCTCTTTTGAGAAGAAAACTATTTGTTGATTTGTCTGTCTTTGGGAGGGAGACACAGAAATGGAGGGACAAAGGGTGAACAAATGCAGCAGTGACACTCACTAGATACTATGTTGAAAACAAACTATACAACTTGTGGGTGGAGACGGGAGGGAAAAACTGGGAGAGAGCTAGGGAAGGGGTGACATCATCCAAAATGACATGTACTCTTTACCCAACTTATGTAACTGTCACCCCTCTGTGCATCCCCTTTATAATAACAATAAAATTTTTTAAATTATTTTTAAATATATATATTATACAAAAAAAGCTGAAAATAAGTTGTGGTTTAGGGGGCAAAATGCCATTCTTGCATGAAAAAGCCAAGTAATAGCACAATATACTAAGTTCAAGAACCAGTGCTGGCCCACACAAAAATTAATTCATTAATTAAGGTTTAAAAAAAAAGAAAAAGCAAGAAAATCAAATTGCAGATGCGCCTGTTGCAAAGAAAAAGCCAACTTCAGGGTTAGCTAGAATTTGGAACATTTGGCTATGTGAAAGAAAAGGCAATGTCTAACCTGGTTTGAAAATGCTTGTAAAGAAGATTAAGTTATTTTTATGTAGTCATAAATAATTCAATCTGAAATACCACTCTTAATTATAGCAGTACAAATATAAAGACTTAAGACATTGTTGAAGCCACCTGTAACCATGTCAAGTGCTTTGAAGATGTCAAGAGCCTACCAAAACATTCATCAGAACAAGTCTTATGTTCCACTGAAGTACAAAAGCATCTTCGTCTGAGAACACATTACTCTGTACCTCTGTACTTGTACAGCGGAAGTACCTGCTGGTTGTTCTGAGGTAATTAACCTAATGCACACCTCTAAAAGCCTTTGAGAACACCAAAACTTTAAAAGATAGTTAATATGAACTACTCCATGTCTTAGGACTTACTTGTTAAAAAGCAAAAACCTAGAAAAAAATTTACGTATTTCCTACTGACATCAATAGATAAGACCATCAAAATGAAGTCAAACCTGCATTAGAAAATGAAGAACTGAGGTGCTTTCAATTATTTAGACATTAATATGAAATATATCAGTTACACTCAATAAATATATGCAGTCTAAACTACATTCTTGAGAGAGGAACATGTGAATTCTGTCAGTAGTAAGAAGATGACTCTGACTTAATCAGGCCAAACATCAAGAAGCTACTTAGATAGAAAGTAAATTAGACTGGGCACTGATGGCTCACGCCTGTCACCCTAACTACTCAGAAAGCCGAGGATCACAGTGCAAAGCTAATCCAGGCAGACAAATCTCTTTTCTCTAAATAATCAATAAAACTCCAGAAGTGGAACAATGGCTCAAGAGTTAGAGCACCAGCCTTGAAAATAAAAAGAGATCCTGAGTTCAAGCCCCAGTACTAGCACTGGAGGTGGAAAGGGAAGGAGGGATGATGCTCATAGATTAAGGATATATAAAGAGTGGGTTTTGTTTTTTTAAGTATTCATATCATCAATTTGGGAGAAAAGATGCAAACCATATGTAAATTAAACCATACCAAACCATCATCAACAAAAAGTTTTTTTAAAAAATCACCCTTCCAGATATGTTACTTATTTCCATCTCTACTATTCACAGAACTCAAAGGGACCAGCTACAACAGAGACACAGTTCTGTAGTATTTTAGTATTTGTAGTATTGTAGTATTTGTAGTATTTTCCCTCCAATAGGAGGGAAAAGAAACATGAAAGTGATTGATTGTTGAAATATAAACCTGACTGCAAAGTACCCATATACTTTCATCCTGCAAGTGGGGAAGTTCTTCATTTTCATTTTCATTTCATTTTCACTGAAAATGCCCCCACAGCTCAGAATTTCATAACAATTGTTTGCAAATATCCAACAACCTTAGTGCCACGGCCTTGAGAAAATGACATTCTATCAGGATTATCTGTGTACCTTGCAAACTGTGTCCACGTCCCAAGGTATTATGGTCCTCAGATCTATGACTTCGCAGGATACCCCAAGCTTTTCTCGTGCCATGGAAGCCACCTCCCGGATCACATGAACCTGAAATGAGGAACAGACAATAGACAGTGTGGTTCAGGCCTGACAGAAGCTGACATTATTCATAACACTGCTCACAGACAGAGGAACGAAACTGCACCGAAAAATCATAACCTCATATTCCACCCAAACAATCAAGTACGCAGGTCTAAAAATCAGATAGAAAGGGATCTTAAGAGAATGAGAGAAGCCAGTGTTAGAGAGATAAGAGAGTCCAAAGGTAGCAGCACAAGGAAGGTAAATAAAGTCACAGGCAGTGGGAATATTTCCAAGGAATGCACATCAAGAAAGACATAAACACCAGCCTCTGGTGGCTCATGGCTATAATCCTAGCTACTCAGAAGGCAAAGATCTGAGAATTCTGTTCCCAAGGAGAAAAGTCCATGAGACTCTTATTTCCACTTAATCAGCAAAAAGTGGGAAGTAGAAGTGTGGCAAGAGCTCAGAGCCTTGAGTTCACAACCCAGTGGCAACACAAAGAGAGGGAAAGAGAGGAGGAGGAAGAGAGAGATAAGGAAATAGAGAACCCTATAGCTCATCAGCTTTCAAGAAGAACAAGAACAAATATTCACTAAAGTAAACAAAATAGCTAAAGAGACAGAAGAAAACCAAAATGAGTCAATGTATCTCAAAAGTTAAACACAAAAGGTTCACAGAAAAAGCAAAAGTGTCTACATCAAAGTACAAGTATCCATATCAAAACACAGCATAAACACTGGATTTAATAATTAAAGATTAGAAGGTTACTAAAAATGTCTTAACTATTTGGTGGTGACAAAACTTATTAGTAGTTGCCAGAACATAAGGAAATTTAAGAATAAACAGTTGAAAATAGTTGTGCAAGTCTGGTGATAAAAGAAAGTAGGATGATAATAATTATGTTTAAGGGTAAAGGAATTTTTTAGACAGTGAAGAGATATATGCTTTTCTGATATAAAGCAAGACAGAAAGGTCTGAAGATGTGGGAGAGGGAAGAGTCTCTGGGCCTTGCTAGTCAGCCAGGCTAGAGAAGGTAAAATGGAATACATCTGACACTTCTTCTTTAAGGACAAAGGCCCAGCACAGATATGACAAAAGAGCAAGCTATGGAAACTCAAGCCTTAGATACACTACCTAGTGTCACTATTAACGAGAAGCAAAGTCATGTGCTGGGTGACATGTTTGGGCATTGAACAGTAGAGTGAGCTGGACACCAGAGGCTCAGGTGATCCTAGCTACTCAGGAGGCTGAGAGCTGAGGATCTCAGTTCAGTCTATGACACCCTTATCTCCAATTAACAGGCAGAAAGCTAGAAGTAGAAATGTGGCTTGAGTGCTAAAGCATCAGCCTTGAGTGAAAAAGCCAAGGGAGAACGCAAGGCCCTGAGTAAAAGCCCCAGTACTGGCATGTACACACACATGCACACGCAGGCACACACACATATATGCACACACACACAAAGAGACTGAAAGAGGATAAAAAAGATTCACCATAAATACCATGGGCCTTAGAAAGGGCTATGAGAACCTAGCAGCACAGCTACCCCACTGAAAATGAAAAGCCACAAGGACTGCAGAAAGACAGCAGGATTTCACAATACTATAAATGGTTTTGTAATCTTCTTTATAAAATACACATATAATAAATACACTGTCTTAAATGTTTGAAGAGAAACAATTTTCTTAATACAGAAAAAGGAAAGCTGAACATGTCTTTAAAGGGAAGAGAGGGAAAAAAAATAAGATAGAAGTCTATGGCTACAGAGGGAGGGGGGAAATTGCATAAAGAAGACCGTAAGTCAACTGTAGTAGCAAATCATAATATATACTTTCAAAGTGTTTTAATAAATACAATTCTGTAACTCAAACATACTTCACCATACGCTTACCTGTCAACAGGAATGAACAGACTCCTCACCCCCACTAAGAAAGCAGTAAACAAACTCCCAGCTATTAAATAAACAGACTAACCAAGTGCTGGTGGCTCACACCTGTAAGTGTAGCCACTCAGGAGGCTGAGATCTGAATCATCAGGTTACACACATTGAATGCATATAATTTTGACTGTCAATTATAGCTTTATAAACTTGAAGGGGAGTCTGTAGCCATAGCACCAGACTTTATCTGTCTGACATGTAAAGAAACCATCACTGTCAGTTCTTCCCGTATCAAGGTGAGAAATGAGACCGTCCACACACAACTTGGCCTTTCCCACAGGGACAGAGTCACTGACCTGCGTGCCCCAGGCCACGAGAGTCACATCACTTCCTTCCTGGAGGACCTCTGCCTGTGACAGCGGAATGTTGTATGGTTCCACGGGAACCTGTTCCACTAAATACAAAACAGGAGGGGAAAAAAGAAAGGTTCGTTACTTTTTCTGACTTGTGGCTTAGGGAATATAAGAATCTCATGTGAACAAGTTTTACCTTTATTTTTTCTTTCCTCCATTTTATAACCTACCCAAAATAAAAATCGCTTTACTGCCTGCCTCTGTGACATTACTACATAGGTAAATATGTGTCACATAAACGTAAAAAACATAAAAAGATCTTGGAATTGAAAAAAATTAGTCAGAAACTAAGAAACTCATAACACATGGACCTTAGTAATTATGTATCAACATCGGTTTATTAACTATAACAATGGTATCACACAAATGTAAGTGGTTGATACTAGGAAAACCTGGGTATGTAGTTTAAGGGAATTTTCTGTACTATCTTTGTACTTTGGTTGTAAATTTAAAACTATTCTTTTAAAAATTTATAAAATTTTTACTATGTCTGCTAAAACTATATGGGACTGAATTAAGATCTCAAACCAATTTCCTATCAAGCAACAAACTTATGAGGGCTAGGAAAACAGACACAACTCATAGTAGGATGAAGTGTTTAAGTGTATTTTATTTCGTATATAACACAATCACTTCATGAACAGTAACAGCTGCCAATATCATAAGTTTCAAAACTAAATACTGTAGATTCCCAAAACATAGATACTACCACTACAGATGTGTATGATCTTGGCGCACAGGAGGCTGAGTAAGAGGGGCTCAAGTTCAAGTCCAGCTGGCCTATATAGCAAGAACCTTATCTTAAAGTAAAAAAAATAAAGTATCTGTTAAATCAGTCCCATTTGAACTGCCACTAGTATCGCAGAGAAAACTGTTTCAGCACCTTTGGGAACAACCAAACACATGCAATAAGGAGTTGACAGAATCTGACAGGAAATTTGAAAATGAAATTGAGGAGGGATTGATGAACTGCTGAGTTCTAGGCAAACAGAGCAGCCATATTTATGTGGGATAACATTGTGGCTCTCTTTCCTTCATTTCTCCCAGTCCTTATTTGATCTTGTCTTTGCTTTTTTTGCTTTTCATTCAAGAAGCAAAGAATAATCTAATGAAAGTAAAAACTCCCTCTACGGCCCAGCCAGAGCCTTCAATCCCACTGCCCAGAAATACCAATGATAATAATTCCCCAAATGTCTACAGGACCCAGCCTCATGCACAGGAGCCTCTGACTCTCCTCCCAACATTTGATCACCCCTGCTTGAGGAGTCAGTGGGCTTTCTCCATTGTGAACCTGAGGCCCACACAATCACTTCGCTGGCTTCCCTTGCAGCTAGATCACTGGCTCTACCAATCAAATGTACCCAGAAGCAGACTGAATTGGGAGCTGATGGCATAAGAGAGCAGTAACAGCCCCAAATCCTTCCAAAATCCTACATCTGCCCTCAGTGGTGTCAGTGACTCAGAAATCAGTGGTCTCTGCCCTGTGATGTCCAGAGACAGCTGATGGGGCATCTTTGAGAATTGCTTCTGGATACATAGCTCCTAAGCCTGGCCCTTGGACATGCCAGAGAACAATCAGCTGTTTATACTGTCCTTCACTTTTTGTTTATATTGAGCAGAATTGACTTCATTTGCTTGAAAACCAAGAACTCTGTCTTTTCAGATATATACCATATGCAACTACACATACACACAGGCTAGCCCTTATAGCTTTTATAGTTATTTTATTAACATTTTCACGTATGCGGGGACTAGGGCTTAAACTCAGGGCATAAGCACTATGCCTTAGCTTTTTCTGGGCCATTATCTTTTTCCACTCATAGCAGGTGCTCTCTCACTTGAACTACACCTTTGTTTCTGGCATTTTTTTGGCCAGTGGGGGGCGGGTCTTAGGAGATAGAGCCTCATGGACTTTTCCTGCCGTGACTGGCCTAGAACCACAATCCTCAGATCTCTCCCTCCAGGGTAGTTAGGATTACAGGAATGTGCCAACAGAAACCCAATCATTTTACTAACTTTTAAAAAATTCTGTATAGCACATAAACTATGTAAAGTCACTGTCTAAATCAGGGATGAGAAAAACCACCATTTGTAGATCATTTTTTTCCATAAATAGTATTTTGCAAAATGAATGGTCATGCTATTCATGTATTGCCTATAGCTGTTCTTATCCCACAACAGCACAACTCAGTAGTTGAAATCAGTAGTTGGAGCAGACAGAATGTCAGCAAATATAACATATTTACTGTTCCTCTACATAAAATGACTGCCAGCCACAATAAACAATGCTTCAGAAATTAATTCTAGTCCATTCACTAACAGTCTACAGAAAACACTGGATGGATGGATGGATGGATGGATGGATGGATGGATGGATGGATGGATGGATGGATGGATGGATGGGTGGGTGGATGGATGGATGGATGGATGGATGGATGGATGGCAGACAGATGGTCAAATGGACAGACAGGGAGACATATTCAAATAGGATACTATATTCTCCTCCTCAGTTGACCAGTATTTGAGCCAAGAGCACGCTGAAGATATCTGGCCAAAGGTAGCACACAGGCTCTTTGCCATCTTCACCTTCTCTGCAGCATTTGCAGGCCTGTAGAAGGCTCAGAGACAATACACATTCTTCCCTGCTTATGAGTCAGTTGCTACCACTTAAGTTCTTCTTTCCGGCCTTGTAAATCAGCTGCCAGCAAGTGATTAGCAGAAAGCCCTGGAAAGCAAGACTCTAAAGGCTGGCACATCAAAAGAAATGGGCTGGCAACTTGGCCCACCTCCTTCCTAAGATTGCCAGTGAGTGAGTGCTTTGTTGTCTTCAATAAAATTACCCAGGGTAATAAGACACCATAATTTTAACAATTAATTACGGGAAAACACTGCAAAAATAAAGCTTTATTCTCTGGGGGGTTGTTTTGTTTTTTTAATATCATGCAGGGACTTTTGATTCAAGTTGAGTCTTACATTAAGAACTATGAAAGAAGGGGGAAAAAAAGCTCTTCAGGGATTTGCATTTATTCCTGAGGAGAATAAAGACACAATTTTAATACATTCACTGATTTAATCTTGGCAAACAATTCACCTGGGGAGCAGGTTAAACTTCATGCATACTACTTTGTAGTTACATTCATTTAAACAGTATTATGCCAGAAGAAAGTTACGATCTCAAATGAGCGTTCTTGCATTCCTCATGCATGGCTAAGAGCTTTCTGAAAGGCAGCAACAGCAGGAGTGAAGCCTGCTCTCCGGGGATGAAGAACATAGTATCCAGTCAGGTTACAGGTGTCCAGCTACCTGAGCCCACGCTACCCACCACATGCCCAGCCGATTAAAATCAAAGCACTAATGAGCACTCCAGAGAAATCCATCCATACCCGCTACACACTGATGAAACCTACTACTTTGAAAAATGAGAAACCTTTACCAAGCAAAATATAGGAGAAAATTATTAGGTCGAACAGACATTATAAAAAGTGTATTATAAATATTCACTGTATGTCTTGTGAAACTAAGAAAATTGAGAGGATGGGTGGGGTTGGAAGGGATGGGGGATGGGGGGAGAATGGTACTCACAAAACAACCTATTGAACTGTAGCCCCTCTGTACAACTATGTAAAGAGAATGGAAATACTATTTGAAAAGAAATGGATTCCACACCTACAATGAATGCTTCTCTAAATGAATTTACAGGCAAAATATACATTCACTTACAAGTTAATTAGCCCCCACCTTCTTCCTTTTACTAACCATTTCCTTCCAACGAAATAAACCCTACATACTATAAGAAACAGTATACATAAATAATACACCATATACAATACACAGAGTCAAATAATAATGCCTATGTACCATATGTATTCCAGCATCATGTAAGATGCCAGAAGGGGAAACTGAAAAGAGCAGACTCTACTGCAAATTACAGATGGAAAAAATTATCAGCTAACAAATAAGAGCATGACCTGGATTGGAAAGATTAACATCGTGAAAATGGCAATACTTCCCAAGGCTATCTACAAATTCAACGCAATACCTATCAAAATTCCAACCTCATTCTTCAAGGAAATAGAAGAGGCAATCCAAAAATTCATATGGAACAATAAAAGACCCCGAACAGCAAAAACGCTTCTCAACGGAAAGAACACTGCTGGAGGAATATCAATACCAAATTTCAAACTCTACTATAAAGCCATAGTAATCAAAACAGCTTGGTATGGCATAAGAACAGACCTCAGGACCAATGGAATAGAATTGAAAACCCAGAAATGAACCTACAGACCTACAGCATCTAATCTTCGATAAGGGAGCTAAAACAATAGAATGGAAGAAAGACAGCCTCTTCAGTAAATGGTGCTGGCAAAATTGGTTAACTACATGTAGAAAACTAAAGCTAGATCCTTACATATCACCCTGCACCAGAATCAACTCCAAATGGATCAAAGACCTTGAAGTCAAAGCAGACACTCTGAAAACATTACAGGATGGAATAGGAGAAACCCTAGGTCTCCTTGGCTCAGGCCGAAATTTTCTGAATAGAGACCCGGAAACAAAACAAATCAAAGAAAGGTTGGACAAATGGGACTGCATAAAGTTGCAGAGCTTCTGCAGGGCAAATGACATAGCTAGCAAGATCAATAGAAAGCCCACGGATTGGGAGAAGATCTTTACTAGCCATACAACGGACAAGGGTCTCATATCTAAAATATACTTGGAACTCAAAAAATTAAACCCCCCAACAACAAATCCTCAAAGAAACAACTGCCCAATAAATAAGTGGGTGAAAGACTTAAAGAGAAACTTCTCTGAAGAAGAAAGAAGGATGGCCAATAGACACATGAAGAAATGCTCAACCTCCCTAGCCATAAAAGAAATGCAAATCAAAACAACATTGAGATACCACCTCACTCCAGTTAGAACGGCAAAAATCAAGAACTCTAATAACAACAGATGCTGGAGGGGATGTGGACAGAAAGGAACCTTACTTCATTGTTGGTGGGAATGTAAACTTGTTCAACCACTTTGGAAAGCAGTATGG